GACTCGATGGCACTTAACAACAACAACAACAAAGAGTTGAAATTAATGTGTCAAGTTTAGAGATGAATAAATTTCCACAAAATATGACTTTTCCTAAAAAATATGTTCAAGTTCTCTAAAATGCAAGAGATATAATGTCTGCATAAAAACAAATCTATTTGCTCATCAATGGAAGAATGGATAAACAAACATTGGTACATACACACAATGCACTACTACACTACCTTGAAGAATAACATGGAAGCTGCAAACCACAGCATAACATGGATGAACCTTGCGGACATTATGCTGAGTGGAATTAATCAGTCACAAAAGGGCAAATATTGCATAAGACCATTATTGTAAAAGCTTAAGAAAACATACCCATACTAAAAGAAAAAAATCTTTGTTAGTTACCAGCAGTGGGAGGGAGGGGTTGGTAGAGCACAGTTTAGAGATAGTCACATCATAGCTCAGGTGTTGGGGAGGACACTATATAAGGAAAGGGAGGGCAATACACAAGAAAAGGAAGGGTGTGGAAGAACAAGGTAGATAGTGGAACACTTAGGTAGGATTGCATGGGCTAAATGGGACAGAGGTAAATAGTGATGTATGCTCAACCTTAGAACAACAGGGCTCTGTGATACAGGGACCAAGGCAATAATCTGAATGGGTAAAAGAGGGAAATAATGTTAAGATGCTTGACTATCTTATGAATATTGGTTTCCCTTGCCTAATATTATAAAATAGACAAACGCGAGATAAAAAGGAATATCAGGAAACATGAATACAGAAAGCTTGTAAGCCTATATAACTGGTTGGATTACCTAAAAGGGATTCTAGAACTTGCCCAGTAAAATATGCTTCTTGTGGAGCCGTTGTAGTGTATCGAACCTTAGGTAATATCCTGAGCCCCATCCAGAACCTTCTGACGTGGGACATTCCCACTTGAAAGGACACGCAGACCAGCCCAGAGCAGCTAGAGGAACAGAAGATATTTTGCGAAACAAAGACCAGCAGGAGAAAATAAAAACAGCAGTCTGATTGGCTACTATAAGAACAATCAAGTTGTTTGCCAGGGAGCCATCAAGGCAAGCAATCAAGTCCCTTCAGGACAAACCCCCCTCCAAAACTGAAACTTTGTCAAAGGGAATACATGAGCAGTCATGTAAGCTAGCTGGTGACCATGTTTGTCTACATGTCAGTGGAAGCAGGAAAGGGAGTAATGAAGATATGGGCTGAGTTCAACCACGTTCCATAGACTCCTGTCGATCTCAAGATGAGAGACAGAAGAGGAAGGGCTGGTTGGTCTGAAGTTTGGGGAGACTTGGGAATTCCTGAGCCCATGGACACTGACCTAGCCAAGGAAGGTTAGAGCAGACAGTGAAGCATCCAGCTGATATGAAGTATGGGGAGATGCACAAGAACACCCAAACTTGTAGACAGTACCAACTTGACTTACCTTCAATGGCTTGATTATCAGAACTAGAGGAAGATAAAGAAATTTGACAAAGGAAACAAGTGTACATTGATACAATATAACGAACTTGACTTATACTTATGGATGTAGTAGCTCAAAATATCAACTGAGAGGGAAGGAATCTTCACATCAAGGAGCAAACTTATCCCCTCTGTATAGAGGGTTGATAGGGATGGGCAACTTAGACATGGCTACCTTAAATGGGGGAAGAGGAGGGCTACAAAGGCATGTAGTGTCTGGATTACAAGTTTCCAAGAGGGCTTTTAGTTTCAGAGTGTTTGGGGAAAGGTAGAATCCCCACTGAATAGTTTTCATCTTGTCTAGATGGGTCTGGTGAAAGGAGATGGGGATAAGATTCATTTGATTCAACAGTGAGTAATTGTTATCATGACTAATTGCAATTCTCACACTTGTAAAGGTAGAAGTTTTGTAACATAAAGGGGCAGAAGTTAATCTTACATTGCAGGAACAGAGGACCCTAGGACCATCAAGGAAGAAGAGCATGAGTGGAATGTGGGACCCTATCCAGAGAAGCAGTGACACTAGAGATGAAGGAAGAGATGATGACATGGAGATATAGAGCAGCTGAGATCTAGACTCATGGAAAGAGAAAGGCTGTGTGCTGGCAGCCAGTAGGTGGGCTTGCAGAATGTGCCCTTTAGTTGTTCAAACAATTATACATTCCTGAGTGGTTTTGTGTACATTAAAAAAAAAAAACAGAGGGAATAGAAGCAAATAATCATTGCAGTGAAACAAAATATGATAGGTTGAGTGCAAAATCAATGTCCTCCCATGTAAACTATCACTCAATTCACAATTAAAGCTCTTTTAAAAAAATACTATTTGATTACATTGTCAAAAGCATTAACACTCAGCACAGCGGATAAAAATGTTTTTCAAAAACTGGAGCATTGAAAATGTTTGTGTTGAAGTAAGGAATATAAATAGCTATGTTCTTTGATTATTTATAATAAAGTTTGCTAGGGAGTTTAGATGTAATCACACCATTCCTACTGTGCCATAAAAAGGTCTGGGTCATCGCTCTGTACTACTGAACTTTCTCCAAGACAGCAAAATGCCACTGCAAAGTCTAAGGTATCCAGGAAAACAAATCTGCACACTCTAACTTGAAGCCAGGTGGGCCTGCACTCCCCACACAATGTCCTCATGATCCATGAATCTTCATCCACTCATGGAAGGAAAGAGAATGGTCAGTTAGCCTTTCCTGAATTCACTTCAAACTTAAAAAGCAATTGATAATTTTAAAAACACTGCATAAGTAAAAAAAAAATTTAAAGGCATAAATGCAAATAAATTAGCTATTAAATCTGAAGGGAAAAAAGTTCTAAAACAAAAGCAAATCTGCATTGGCTGTGGCCCAGTTTTGCGAGCATCTTTCCATTTAACACTAAAATCAAAAGATGAGCAGCAACTGGAAAATGTGTGATTACAACTGTCCAATAGTAATTAGTCTTTATTATTGTTAAAATATATGCTTTATCATTCTTATAGAGGAAGGAGATGTGACAATATTTGTATTTCATATTGGTGACTGCTTTTCTTTGGCAACAAAATTCCATTCCCCAGGACAGCCACTATCCAGCATTTTCTCTCCCCAGCTGGGAAGATGAATAAATAATTGCTATATCAAATCCCACACTGTTTGTATAAAAGGGTTATGCCATACATAGGAGTGTTTAGGTGGCACAACTGGTAAGCGCTTGACTATCAGCTGAAAAGTTGGTGGCTTGAACACACCCAGAAGTGCCTCAGAAGACACGCCTAGCAATTTGCTTCCGAAAGGTTGTCGCCTTGAAAACCCATTGGAATAGCTCTATTCTGCACACTTGGGCCACCCTGAGTCAGAACTGACTCCACGGCAACTAACACCAACAGCAATACAAAGTCTCACCAAGTGGAGATAAGCTAACCAAAAATCTCTTTTCCTACAGATCTGTATTTCAGATATGTAGCATATATGGATTTGGTGTGACTTTAAATTATAATGACTGACTAAGCTTTTTTGAAAGAGTGGCAGGAGAAATCACAGTTTCAAACAAATATTACCTAAAAATAAATAGTACTCAGAATGGTAGGTCTGTTCCAAATGTTTTTGTGGTATGACATAATGCCACTTCCAGCATCTACAAGAATACAGAGGCCCAGTACTTCCAATTGCTCAGAGAGTAACTATCAGTTTACTAGTGATCATCTAATACATCTTTCAAGGTCTTGTTTTGGGGAGATATTTAAAATAAATTATAGAACTATGTTGTATATTAAATTTTACGTGAAGAATTATTCTAAATATTATCAATTTATAAATTCCACATATCTAAAAACTATTAGGCATTGACATTTCCAACCACACAATTACAGCCACATAAATAGCATTTCTCTACTAATACATTTTTCTTATTAAGAAAATAATGCTATTATTATATTACTAGTTATTACATCAAAGGATATTTTAATACAACAAATTTCTATGTTAATAACATTCTTACATTTATTGTTGTATTTTATTTCACTTTTATATAAAGGGAGGCAAATCAAAATCTAAATTATACTCATGGCTATTTAAGATCTACAAATACAGCCAAAGAAAACACATCAGGTTAGCATACACTCTTTCCTCTGTGTGTGTGTTCTCAAGTTCATGGAAGAACGGCATTGAAAGATATTGGAATTTCCCCATAACTGTTTTGAAGCTCCCTCATACATGTCCAGTTGTGGTGCTGTAGGATAATCACTGGACTGCTAACTGCAAGGTCAGCAGTTCAAACACACCAGCCACTCCTTATAAACCCTATACAGGGTCACTATGAGCCGAAATCTATTTGGTAGAACTTAACAACAATACAACATACATGTATGCCCATACACACACATATACACACAAGGCTGTGGGTTTAAGAAAGGTAAAGAGATTAAATCATGTGGTAAACATTTTAAGGTTATGTGACAAGTGACAAGTGTAAAAGACCTCTGGTTCATTCAACAGAGACCACAAATAATCCAAGTAAATTATAGCAGTTTGGAGAAACCACTATATTAATAATTTTATCAAGCATATAAGTGAGTTCTGAGGCAACAGTTTAAAACACAGCACTGTGTAATGTTGTTAAGAACAGGAGTAAAAGCATATTTTTGTTCTTTATCTTTAGAGAAAGTTACAAAATAAAGTACTTAATATGATTTTAATAAAGAGAACAGGTCAAAATACAAGCTGATTAATAGTAAAGAAAAATTACACTACCTGATGAAGCATATTTTCTACTGTTCTCATGTGATTAGCAACACATTCTTTGTCTCTAGAAAAGGTAAAGGAAAGATTCGATGTTAGCAAAGCCCAAACCTTACTAAAAACTGTAAAATCGAATTATATTCACTAGTATAGTTCCATATTTAATCCTCTCCTCAGGTATACTGCTGTTCTAAATTGCTGTTGTCAAGTTGGTTCTGACTCACAGCAACTGTACTTGCAGCAGGACACAATCTGGTCCAGTGTCACCCTCATAATCACTGCTAACCTTGAGCCCACTGAGTCAAAAAGCTAAAGGATATCTTCAAAGATAAAAAAAAGATGAGATAAAAAGAAATGACCATTGTATTATTCATAATGAAAAAATACTAAAGAAAGTTAAACCGTTTATTCCTTCGATTTCTAATGAGAAAAACTTGCAAAATCTTAAGAGATGGGGATATATTATAAATGACTATACCATACACAAGGATCTTTTTCTTTCGGCATAGGCAACATGTGTTCTCATAATTGTCTTGACTGGAAACATGTAATGTTTCTAGCTTCTTCTATCATTCTTGAATATTAAATTTGGTCTTAATAATGAAATTAAAAGTTTAAAGCAAAATGCTGAAGCCAACAACTTAAAGATAAATGATGGCAAACTGAAAACTGTAAATAACATATTAGTTGCTCAAGTTTCAAATGAGTTGTCTTTAGTTTCATGAGAACATCTGTCCATGATCACTGTGTCCTGAATACCAAATAAACAGGTATAAGCAATGTTTTGCATACACAAAATACGAATCTAGAGGACATATAAGTCTATTTCATTGACATCAGAATTTCCAGAGTTGTAAGATACACTGAAAATTCTGTAGCCCACACTCCTCATTTGACGTGAGGAAACTGAGTCTCAACAATGACCCAAAACACCTCTTTAAAACATAGCCAAAATAAAAATACGTATACATATAGCCAAACCTATTTTGAAAGATGACAATGGTACACACAGGTACAGTGAAATGTTAAATAACTTCACAATGTTCTAAAAAAAAACTATTGGTGAGTGTTTAAACACACCAATATTTTGGCCTTGTATCGTGTGAGTTTGTCACTTTGTGTGAGCAGCTTCCCAAGGCCATTGGCAAAGCTTATGGGTACCCCCATACAGTGATCTAATCTATATAGAGACTATATTCATACTGCATGATATTTTATACTTGACAAGAGAGTTGCTCTCAAAATACAGCAATAACAACTTTTAATTAATAGATACATTTTTATAAGTCCAGTAATCCAGAATCCAAATTTAGAAAGCATTGATATTATTAAAATGAAGATGTTTCTATAATCCATAAATTGATTTTCTTTTCGCCATGCTATTACCAAAGACGATCTTAAAGTAGATCGTGAAATTTGATTGGAGACCAAAAACTACCCAAGAGAACCATTCAATTTGAACTTTACAGTGTGTATCAATGTGACCACCTGGAAAAAGGAAAAACACTACCATTACATTTAAACAACAGTTCATGCTGAAAACTGTGTAGTTTTTCTATTTAATATAACAATGTATTTATATACAGCTATGAAATTAAAACAAATTTTTCACTTGCAATGTGCTTTCATTGCATTTTAAAAGACACCGTAATACAAATGCTGATTGCAGTCTAAATTTTCTTTACGGCAACATTACTTGCACTATTAGTATATGATACCCAGAGCAGATTATATACACAGAGATTACGAGGCTAAAGGGGTGAAGAGTATGTGAAAGAAGACACTACATAAAACTTTTTTTAAAAGAGTCCTACATTTCACATTAATAAAAACGGGGACTCAAAGATGTATCCCTATACCAGAATCTAAAACACACATAATTAGAGGCTATGTGGCAACATCTCCTTTTCTGAGGTTTCTCAATAAAATATACATTTAGCAGGTTGAGTTAAGAGTTTTCTTGTTTGAGGATATATCAGAGAATTTCAAAGAGAGACAGCTGTACTTTTGTTTTCTAACACTGTATTATCCAGGGCTAAAACCCGGAGCATGAAAGTAAGAATTGATCTTTTGTCTGTTTAAAGTGATCTCCCCAAGGTCCAAATGCTCACTTGGCTGCCATGCGGAGGGCACTCTCTGCATCGCGGATGTTCTCCTCCAGCCGACGCTTGTCCTGCTCCAGCTGGGTAAGATGTCTATTGAGCTGACGCAGAGATTGATCTTTTCTTCTCAGCTCCATCTTTGCCTCGGAGAGACTCTGCGAGCAGACAGAAAACAGAGTTACTTGTCAGCCCTGATAATTAACTTCAATTTATGCCATAGGCTATTAAACAAAGAAGAGTACAGACTGACTGAGAAGTAGACTTGGGTCATTACATATCAAGGTTTAACAAATTCTGCGAAAAAATTTTACATACCTCCTAATTAGACATGATAGAACTGATAAGACTTTGAGAGATTTTTGGCTATAGAATACAACTCTATTTTATTTTTTTTAATACCACAAGGTAAATATTTCCTAATAAAAACACCTGACCACCATCATTTTAAATTGTGTTTGTTTTTAAAATGAAAAACATTAAGAATTCAAGGGGGAAACGGCACATAAAACTTTGCATCTGTTTAAAGTAACAGCTATTATATGCCTAAAGCATGTGTGTATGTGTGAGAGAGAGAGAAATGGTGAGCAAGGTGTATTAGAACAGGGAGTGGGGAACCCAAGATTTAAAAGTACCACTACTTCCTTTGAAATACATCTATAGTCAGATTGCTATAGACATCTCAGTAGGAAAACAGGATGCCAAAATCAAATTCACTAGCTTCCAAGGAAATAACTGTAATGTCCAGAAGAACAACATTAATGTGATCAAGTTTCAACCAACAAAGAGAGATATGAATAACACTTACATGAGGATTATTATTCCCCATAAATATTTTCCTAGCCATAGAAGCATAAAACCTGTTAATCAATATTTGCTTTCATCGTTCAAGGGTGCAGTTGTGCAACTTTCTCTTAAAAGTTAAGCGTTTAAGGTCTTAGAATCAGAAACTCACAGCATAAAGTATTTTCTAAATCTCATTTAAATTCTAGGATCCAAAGTCGAGTAGGGAACAGGGGATTTTCTCATAGCACTGAAAATCTGCTCATTCTTTTGCCTATGAAATTTCTGCGATAGAGATTTACCTAACAGTTTTCAATTAAAGTTGTTTGATAATAAGCTCAGGAATGATTGCATATACATACGCTTTTGTTTTTCTTCTTGCTCAGAGTTTAGCCACATACTACCGTCCACAACTGTACTTCAAAAGGATAGTAAGGGACAACCAGAATGCTTTCATTTCATGTTTAAAACTCTTCGAGCAGCATTCTTCCAATGCAGTCACAATGAGTAGGATAAAAAATTCAAGCTGGCTACATGAAACTAAAACAATTAATTCACCCTAAATGCTGCCAGATTGAAAGCAATTTTCAGTCAAGCCAGGTAGTTAGAAATGTTCAATTTTTTTAAATTCTGTAGTTCACTGTTCAGGCAAGTTGCTGTCAGAAACATACAAGTCAAAGTATTAAAAATAAGCAGACTGCAATTGCTTTTTGGATATCGTAGTTTATTTTAAATCTTTTGTATTAACAGATCCTTAAGAACATCCCACTATGGGAATAGTTACTGATTCCTAGTAACTTCTTAAAAAGATAAAGAAAAGAATATTTTTAAAAGCCATACTAAACCCCCTTATTTTGTGCCAATGTTCAGATATTTAAAGGCACGGCCGTATCATGAGATTTCTTTATTTTAAAAATTCAAATCCACTTTAGTCCTTATAAAGCTGGCATTTCTGACATCTTTTGGCAATGAAAAATGCTATTTTTCAGATATGAAGATAAAACTAATGATCCACCACTAGTTGTGCATAAAGCTTGAATTCTTTTGCCAGCCAAAATAATAAATTTGTACCAACCTATTCAAATTCTCTCGCTCAGTAACTCTTATGACTGGAGGTGTACATTTATGAGAAGAGTACTAAGGGTTTAGGCTACTCTTTCCAGCCATGTCCAGATTGGGGCTTGCTGGTCCAATCTGAAAGAACGCATGACCTGGGTATCATGAGAAAATGGCACTGGACTTTTCAGAGCTCCTGAGACACTTGTCACAAAAGATATAACACGATATTAAGGTGTCTACTGTAGCGTAGTGGCTACGAATCGGGCTGAGAACTGCAAGGTCAGCAGTTCAAAACTACCAGCTGTTCCATGGGAGAAAGATGAGGCTTTCTGCTCCCGTAAAGATTTACAGCCTCGGAAACCCTGTACAGGGTCGCTATGAGTCGGAACCGACTCCACGGCACATAACAACAGCAACTGTATACCTAAATCTCCTCATTTCCATTGTTTTTCCATTTCTTCTATCAAGAGCAATGACAAGGAGCCAACTGACTAGTATGCCTCTTCTGCAGGGGGCATAGCTAAAAAGCCTGTCTCAGGGCTTTGAAATCACAGAAAAGGAACAATTTGGTATAAACAAATTGATAATAAAGTATCCTTCTTTGTGAATATAAGAGGTTATATGGTTATTGAGGAAAGACTAATTCTAGTTATATAACTTGTAAACAAAGGCTTCTCATTTTAAAGAGTTGAGCATTACCATACAGGAATCAATGAATATCAATAGGTGGGGACGTGTACGTTACATCGAGACATAAAAAGTGATTCAAGGATTTGTCTTTTCTCTAATATTAACCTATTTTGGTTTTGATGCCAAAAGTAGAATCTTTAAAGATCCTAACACCCAGCTTTAAAAAGAGACAGGAATAGATTTATATATGTCTACAAGGGCACCTAACAACAACAACATACATTAGGTGTGGCACTGTGGGTTAGGCCGAACTGCAAAGTCATTTGAACTTAGGGGTCAGTGGTTCAAGCTCACCAGCTGTTCCTCAGAAACCCTATACAGGGTCACTATGGGTTGGAACTGACTCGACAACATTTAACAAAAAAAAAATAAAATACATCACATGGAGTCCTGGTGTGGTGCTGTGAGTTAATGCCCTGGAATGCAAAGTCAGCACGTAACTGCAAGATCAAACTCACCAGTTGCTCCTCAGAAACGCTACAGAGGATTACTATGGGTCAGAACTTACTCAATGGCACTTAACAACAACATACATCACATGGAGTCCTGGTGTGGTGCTATGGGTTAATGCGCTGGACTGCAAAATCAGTTTGAACTACAAGATCAGCTGTTCAAGCTCACCCGCTGCTCCTAGGAAACGCTACAGAGTTGTTATGGGTCAGAACTAACTCAACAGCACTTAACAACAACAACATACATCACATATGAATTCCATTCCATTTTCCCACAAACTTTTTGAAGCCCCCTTGTGT